GGTAGCATTGGGGAGTGTGTCAACCAAGCACAGCATCATCCTAACTCGGGAAATAAAAAATAGAAGTGCTTGACCAATCAACGATATACATCGTCCAAAACGCAAATGCTTAGCTGAGAATATACATGAAATAAACCAAGACAAAGTTTATAGAAAAGCAAAGAGAAAAAAAAGAAAAGAATTCGAACGAAAGGAAAGCAATGGTAAAGAAAGAGAACCATGAAAAGAGGACGTCGGAGCAGAGGCTCTCTGATGCTTTGCAAGTCTCGCTGCCACTGAATTCATTGTCAGCAGAAGGAGGGAATGCAGACGAACCTTGTGTCGCAGCCCAAACACTGTTAAAACTAACCGTGCCGCTTCGGTTTGATAAGGGCCCAACTTGGTAGTAAACCCTAATATTTCCTGATCCCACCCCATGCAAGTGAGACGCTGAGGCCTAGCAACTTGGGCATTTAGGCCCCTTAATGGGCCCAGTAACTTCAAAAAGACTTTTCGGACAGTGAATTCCCTTTTTAGGCAGAAATGTCAAGGTGAAATTTGTGATTACGGATAAGTGAGGCAAGGTATGTAAATTGACGTCAAGAACAATTCCTTTCAAATGTTCTTGTCTTTCTTGTCTGAAAACCCAAAAACAAAAAAAAAATTGAGAACAAATAAATACAAAAACTCTTTATATTCTTATTTCTAAAAATAATACTTTTTAATGCTATAATCAAGGAGGTCATCAGCATTATTGGTTGATGGTGTTGTGTGTGTCTTTTTGCCTTTTTTATAGGAATAAGTATAAATATTTTTCAAACAAAATTAATTATTATTAAGTGTAAATATCTTGGGTGAGGAGGATATGATTTGCTCTTTCCGTTTAAAAATATAAAACATTTTTAATCGAATCTCATCTTTCAATAAAATAGTTATTTACTTTTCAACTAACTCTATCTTTTCATATTTATTCCTATTAAACACTCTATAATAAAATAAAATCATTATTAATAGAGACACTTTTGAAAAAAAGGCAAGAATTATACCTTAAAAAACTAAAAATATCTTACATATTTTAACATCCAACTCCTCAAAAAATATCTTATATTTTTTAATGGAGGGAGTATGTGGCAGTTGACACCAATCGAGAAAGCTGCAATTTGGGATCAATCTTTAGTATCTAATTACTCAAAAAAAGACTAAGTAATTTTTAAATAATTTATAATTTTTTTTTAAAAAAATAGATTTAAGATTTGAGTGTTTAAAGTTTTTGTATAAAAAATTTTTTATTTTTTAATCTTAAATAAATGAGTCCTAGCCTTATAATTATTTTATAAAAAAAAACAGATATTATTATACATTTGGTTGCCATAATAAAAAGTTATTATTGGTTAATTGTTTTTAAATTTTATGATATTTTTGCATATTTATGTACTATGCTTATACAAAATAATTTATCATTTAGTTATTTTAATATTTTATAATGTCTTTGTATACTTTTGTATTTTTATAATATTTTATCTTACTAGATTTTGGAATAATAAAAAATATAATTTTTAAAATCTTAATTATTTTAAAAAAATTAAAAAAACATAATAAAATTTTATAAAATATTTTTTAAGAAAATAAATGATTTATTTATTTTAAAAAAACTTAAAAACTGGCCTAATCTATTACCGCATGAAATAAACTACTTTCACGGCGACTGTGTTAATCACTTTTTAATTAGTTTTTAGAACAAACAGATAGTTATATATATTAGTTACGTGTTTAGAAACACGAAGCATTGTTTTATTAAAAAAATGAAGCATTGATTAGCAAGCGTCAACATCACCTCTCTGTTTACAATTTTTCAAGATTTTTTATTCATCGTTTTTCACCAAGCAGGAGTGAGTTTGAAAATTCATTGTATTTTTAGTATATTTAATACTTATTGACATTTTCTTTAGTTTTGATTAGATTGTTAAAAATAGTGTATATTTAATAGGTTAAATATAAATTTAGTTATAAATTATTTTTAAAAAAGTATTGAGTAGCCTATATTATTAAATGGTGCAAAATAAATTAAATATTTAAAACGAAGTGCTCAACACCTACCATTAAATTTGACCAAACGGACTTTAACTTTTTTGTAAGGTCCACTCAAATTTCACTATACCTTCTCCCTCTCTCCCAATCTCATCTACTCTAGATCTCATCATTTCAAAGGAAGATTGCAAGTACCACTCAAATTTCACTATAAAAGAGAGGTTGTGGGTGTGAAAATGGTGGGGAGGATTGTCCGAAAGAGGAAGATAGTTGAAGGTGAAGAAGAAGATTAGGATGAGATGACAAGGAGAGTGGCATAAAAGAGAAGCTTGGAGGAAGCATTAAGGATCTTAGTATTGTTTAGTTTTATTTGGAGGATCGGGGCCTCTATGCCAAGAAGAACAAAAGGACCTCTCCTTACTTGTAGTGAACAAGCTCAATCCAAATCATCAGTACATATGGCCGCTTTGGCTACCATGAATGGCGTTGCCGCAATATCGTTAAGGTCTATCTTATGATGAGTTTAATAAGTTCCTGAGCAGTCCCGTAGAATTGTCCGACAAATCTGACTAGTTGTCATGAGTAAGACTAAGCCTATTTCTACTATTTGTGAGGTCTTGGCAAAAACTATGTTCAAGAGTTCATTGAGAAAGCTCTCCAAGTTATCTATTTTCTCATATTTTATTGAGTTTGTTTGACTTGATTTGTGATATCTCTCTTTTGTTTTCCCTTTATCGACATTTTGATGTAAGCTTTATTGTTTCTTATTTTTTTGTTTCAATGTTTTGATGAAAAATGATTGAACATTTCTAATGCACTTGAATTGTGGTGGGAGTTTTCCCATCACCCATAGTAACCGTTGATGGAGAAGGCTCTGATTGAATAACTTTTTTGCACCTACAACTCCTAGATGATATCAAGTGGCATTTTAGTGTGCTGGCACCACTATTGACTTCCCAGAACTATTATGCATCTATCTTCGATGCCCACATCATTCCATTTCTTAGAATGAATAACTTGAAAATATTGAAAACTGTGGATCAAGCTCGAGGGAGATGAAGGATGGAGAGTTTGCAGAACCAACATCCCTCTTTAAATAGCAATTAGGAGCAAATTGATGAAATGTACTAACTTTTCAGATAAAGGATGGAGAGTTTGCAGAACCAACATTATTCTCTCTCTTTAAATAGCAATTAGGAGCAAATTAATGGAAGGTACTAACTTCTCCATTTTTATATAAGTGATAATTTATTTCGTAATACCTGATAATATAGACTGTTGAATATTTTTTTAAAAATAGTTCATACATAAAATTGCACATTTATCCTACTTAATATGAGAGAAAGTAGCTTATTGGGATAGGCGACACGTCACTTGAATGACAATGGCAGAGGTTTGGGATAAACTCCTAAACTATTTTTTTTGGTCAAAACATAAGCCTACTTGCAAAAAGCTTATCAACCCTGTTCCCCCCGTTTTAAATGTAAGTTATGTTTTGTAAAATATCGTATGGGGAAGATGATTAAAAAATTATTCTAAAATATGAAAATTACAATTAAATACTTAAAAATATAATAATTATTATTTAGTTTTTAGAGACTGACATTTTAATTTTTGATAAAATAATAAATTTGCCTTCTGAAATTATTATAAGTAATAACTATTTTGATTATATTATTGACTAAAATATAATAAAAATGATTATTTTCTTCATGTAATTTATCATAAATAATATTTAAAGAATTTAATTTTTTCTACATTCATGTGCAATTAAATATCATAACTAATTAATTTATAATAATTAATGTAATTTTGACTGTTAATAGGGTTGTATTTGAAAAGTAATGCAGATGTTTTACATTTTTAATAATTTAATATACTTTCTCATCCTATTTATAGAATAGAGAGAAAAAAATTTGGGAGGATGACAAAAAGATCTTAAAAGGATAAATTAATTCAAGTTAGATCTCAAATATCAAATTTTAAAAATTTGCTAATCCATCTCTTAATTTTGTATTTTCATTATAATAAATTTATAACTTATTTTTTAAATTTTAATATAGTTGCAAAAAAAATTATTTTTCTTATTAAAATTTAAAATACGAATTGCAAATTTGTCATAACAAAATTGCAAAATTAAGAGATTAAGTTGTAAATACTTAAAATTTGATACTTGAGACCTAACTTAAATTGATTGATCTTTTTCAAATTTCTCTGTCATTCTCCTATTTTTTTTGTCATATTTATATGTTACATTATTAAATTTTTATTGTAAATTTTTTTACCTTCCATTAAATATCGGTGAAAAAATATATTATTAAAGTATACATATTTAATAGGGATAAAATTAATAATTTATTTAATTTATAGACAGAATCAATAAATTTTAATATTTTCTTTATTTTGGTGAAATTGAAAGTTATTTATAAATAAAATTAAAGAACTTTTATTGAAGTACATTTACATTTTTAATAATATACTCCCTCCATTCAAAAATGTAAAAAAATTTTTAGGAAATTAACTATTTAAAAATGTAAGATACTTTTAATATTTTGAGGTGTAATTATTATTTTTTTTTTCAAAAGTGTTCCTATTGATAATAACTTTATATTTATTGTAAGGTATTTAATAGGAGTAATGTAAAAAGATAGTGTTAGTTGAAAAGTAAGTAATTATTTTATTGAGGAGTAAAATTTAATTAAAAATATTTTATATTTTTAAATAAAAAGAGTAATATAATATAACTTTCATTCAACTTCAATTTTTTGTCCGTGCGCTGTAATTAAATATTTTTTGGATGTAAGGAGTATTGTTTACTGTATATCCAATGGACCAAAACAAACGACATCATTTTCCACTCTCAATTATTATTACTATTATTATTACGACGCACTTATTCAGAACATGCTCCGCTCGCTGTGATTGTCGGTTTTTTTTTTTTTTTGGGGGGGGGGTGGGGGGAATGTAGACAAACACCTTTAAAGCTCGCCGCGTGTCCAAATATCGGAGTACCAATCCGACCTACAATTAAAACTTGCGGTCTAAAGATAAAATCCAATCAAAAAGGCCCCTCTTTAGTCAACATCCACGTCAAAATTTCAAATCGCCATGAACACATTCACATGCCCAAATTTGACTAATAGTAACGCCCTTCCACGTTGTCGACAGTCTTCCCTCCAATTCCACCACACATCCAGGTTAAAAAAGCAGGTCCCAAAAAAAAAAAAGAAAAAAAGAATCCACCACACATGGAGCCATCAAAATCAAAAAACCTCACTCACTCACGCCAATACTCAGTGCCATTCTTCATTTGCTTTCCCTGCAAATTCTGTCAATTTCCATCGTTTTTCTTGATCATTGCAGCGAGTAATCCCGATGCTAATAAAAGTTCAAGAACTTGCTAGTTAATTTACCTTATCTGTATTACACGGAACAGCTGCAACTAGCACTAGAACTTACCCCTCTACCCGAGTCTGATCAGAGAGATTAAGGGGATGAGTGAAAAAAGAGACAGATAGCTGAAATGTCATCCATGGCAATGCCTCGCCTCTTGCGTTTCCATGCATGCACTGCACACTCCACCAAACGTTTAGCAGAATTGGCTCTGTCTGCTGTTGAGCTCACAATATTTACTGCTTCTTCATTGGATATTACGTCCCACACCTGTTCCACATAACCAAACATTCCATTTTTCATGTCTCGGTGCTGGGTGATTGGAATTCACAAAGCACGTTGATGGACTAAGAAAGAAATTAATACCCCATCGGTTGCTAACACCACGAATTGATCTCTGATGGTTGGATTCCTGTGTGTGACCTCGGGCACAGAAATCAGACCGTACTCCTTGACACAGTGGTCGCCGAATGCTCTAGACATGGCTAGTCCCGGTGATTCTTCGTGTGGCAGCCACACCCTGTGAACCCCTGGCTCGTCCTCCAAGCAGAACACACGCCCCTGACACCGTGTTATTCGCTCTGCTTCCTCTGCACGCAATATTTTCAAGGGGTGTTTAGAATATCAGCGCAATGTTGGAGATGGAATAGAGAAAGAGTGAGACACTGACGAGGTAAACTGGGCTTGAAATCAACTGTGAGCTGAACTGCTACCAAGCTTCCATCTTCTGATGTCGTGGCTAGCACAGCACGAGAGTCCCCAACATTTGCTATCACTAGGAGTCCACCCTGCCCACAGATCAGCGAAGGCTTAAGACAATTAAGATTCAGAAATCACCCAAACGTGTTTATGTTTATGGATACTGAATGCTTTAAAGCAATGGAACCTCTTTGAACTAATAACTCGAAAAAATCGAATATCCTCCATCAACTTTGGATTCTTTGCAAGAATCTCCTTCAACTTTCAAACCAGATCTACTGCTCTTTGACAAGTCCCTCAAACTAATTAATCTGTCATGTGGTGCATTTCTAGTGGTTTGCAGATTTTATTAAGCCAACAATTTCTAGCAAAGGATTTAACGACATGTGGAGCACAATTTACAAACCCGTGGAAGCTTATAATAACAGGACCATTCCGAAGTTTAAAATTACATTCCAGTGAATAGCGTTTAACACGGAGGGGGGGGGCATCATTAAGTACTTGTTTAACAATGGACAGGGCAGTGGTTCCGCTGTAGAAGGAATTGATCTTGCGATGCTGCTTCAGTTCGCGGTCAATGGCAACACAAGTCTTCAAATAGGAATGCTTCCATATATCAGATATGTGTCGCTTTTTCTCAGCCTCCATATCGATGTCAATATGAGGATCCAGCAGAGAAGTTTGGGCAAGTGTCTCCTGCCAATTACAAAGCAAAGATGGTGGCATTGCCTCTCTCACTCTCTTGGCCACAAAGTGACCCCACTGCCCATGACCATCAAATATCCCGCAAAACATCAAGTCCTCTTGACATCCAAATTCCTACGTTAGCATCAACCCTTAATATCAGAGATCTAAACGTTTATGCAAGAAATATACAGGGGAATTTTCGCCATGTTTTATGTGCATACCTCCCACACTAAGCAGCAATCCTGGTTGGTTCCTTTCTGGCCTCTTCTGGAGAAAACAGAGGCAAAGTTGTTTGAACCATCCACTTTTACAGTACCAGAGGAACACAGTATCAGGTCCCTTCTTTTAGCTGCTTTTGCCATGGCTTCCGCTGCTTCTTTGCCACAACATTTCCCCGAACTTCTTCCTTTCTTTGCTGCTATCAACCTTACCAGTCCATTGAACAGCGAGGATAGATGCTCCATCAATTTTCCAATCTGAGTCCCAAAACGGGATGCTTCTCGTACTTCTTCCGTTTATATGAGCTCGCACTTCATGCCATAGAACCTGTACAATGAAAATTAAGAATCATGATGCCACAATTCCGTACGGAGCCTGGGAGGGATGAAAATAATGAAAAGTATTCGATAAAGAAATTCTTGAGAGAATGGTATATTTATCCGATTCTATTTTTTTTTAAAAAAAAAAAAACACTTACCTAAGAGCCAGGATCAAGGATAAACGGAAATACCTTACTCACTGATCAGAATCAGATTTTTAAAAGTTAAAAATTTAAGTTTTTTAGGGTATTCATTCTTACAAGGAATTCCAGCAATGCATTTAGAACTTTCTATCAAGAGGAAAGTAAAATGCGCCATTCATACAAATGACGAAGGGGAATTAAAAAAAAAAAAAGTGAAGAAACGGCTTCAATCAGTTCGGTGGTAGATCACAAATTCACAGGAGTCCACTCATGGACAGGTTTTTGCTTCATCGACAAAATTCAGATATCTGAATCAGAGTCCATAAATCAGCAAATTTTTGGGACTTACAGATTGGGATGGAATTGAAGAGATACATGAGGGAAGGAAGCACCCATAATAAAAGAATCTTGGTTGAGAAAAAAGAGAAGAGGAGGGAAAACATAGTAAAGGAAGAGGAGGAGAAACCGAAGTAAAGAGAAGATGGTTAAGTATGGCGGAAATCCATGAGTTGGGGTTCGTTTGGCTCTGCGGTCCTCCAGGGACGCCGACACGCATGTTTTATTTCCACAATATAAACAATACCTGCCCGCTCCATCTGCCTGATATCACAAACTAATACAAAATATCTCAACTTTCCACGCCCTTTCGCAGCTTAGCCCGTAAAGATATAAAAAGCTGCCATGGAAATAGAGTCTGGACAATGCAACGGCCAAGAGTTTCGGTATTTTTAGATTTAAGTAAATTTATACATTGAGGAAATTCAAAATAATAATTTAAAAATATAGGTGGATGTGTGAGTAGTCGGCAGAGGGCTAGAGAAGAGAAGATGAGTAGCCAGGGAAGGAAGAAAATGGGAAGAGAAGAGAAAGCCAGAAGGGTCCCACGCTCACCTGCATGCAGTTGAACAATCTCAAACGACTGGTGCAGGCAACACTCATGTTTGGGCGTGGGCCCACAACCCCTGACATATATACTCGTGGCCTCCTACCTTCAAGTCGGTGGCAGTGGCACCTTTCATGAGCAAGAGCAGCGGTATGTTGAAGATTTGACTCTACGTTAAAAACGAAAGGTCAAGATTCTAATGTAATAACAAATGCATTCATTTCATGGTTTAAAGACTGTAATAAACTGTATATTTTTACTAATAAAAGTTAGTCCTTTTAATAAAAATTTAATTTATAATTCACAAAGATCATAAATTAAATCCTATTTCAACATTGCTTCAATGTGAGGATCTTATTAATAAAAAATTTATAAATAATTTTTTAAATTTAAAGACTTATCTTAACTTAAGTAAATCCTAGAACACTCAAGTCACGTAAATTTTTTGTAATAAAAAAGTACATTTTTATATTCTTTGCATCCTAAAATTTTCTCAACTAAACTACCACTATAATAAAATTTCATGACTTTATTTTCATGATATCATCTTATCTTACTATATATCATCATTTTACTGTTTATCTACCGTTATATGAATAGTAAAATGGTGTTTTATTTAATTATTTTTAAAATATTTACACAAAATACATGTGGGGCCAAATGAAAAACGTATAAGATTCCTAATAAAAAATATGATAAATATAACATCCATATTTTTATGTACAATACGAAGATGTCATTTGTTGTTTTAAAATAATAAAAATAACGGATGTGAGATCTATATTTTGTTACTTGAATGGGTGTGTATGTATATATGTAAGATAATAAATTATAAAATAAAATACAAAGTTAATAATTAATTATAAAATAATACTTCTTTCATTAAAAGATATAAGGCATTTTTTGAGAGGTTAGATGTTAAAAATATAATGAATTTTTAATATTTTAAGATGTGATCATTGTATTTTTTTTAAGTATCCTTAATAAATAAATTACTTTATATTTATTTTAGAGTAAAACACTTTATTAAATAAAAGTAAATATAAAAAAATGTTATTAATTTAAAAATAATAATTATTTTATTAAAAAATAAAATTTAATTAAAAATATTTTAATATTTTTGAACGGAAAACATGTCTCACTTCTCGTAGGTGATGCCTAGCAAAGAATTCTAAAAGAGAATAAAATATTTATATTTTAATCTGCAGGAAGTAAGAAATTTGAAAAAATAATAATATTTTTTTAATTTGTAATATTCATAAAGGTAACACGTTGCAAAATAAAAATTGATGATTAAATTTTGATTTGCATAGACAGTAATTGATGGATCCAGGAATATTTATTATGGAATTTTTTTTTAATTAATTGCGAAGAATAAAACTTAATAAAATGTTTATTTTTGAGTAAATTAGATCAATGGTCTTTAAAAAATACAGTTCTCATAAATTATAAATGATATTTTTAAATATCTTGAAATATGACTTATTTATAAAATCAATTAAATATGATTTTCCTTTCTTATTCTCAAAATAAATATATTATTAAAATATAATATATTTCATGTAACTAATCTTTAATTGATTGAATTGTGTTGTCACAATTGTTCTTTCATCACATAGGAGGAAAGTCTCATATGCTAATGCTTCCCTCTCCCTCCCTCTCCCTCCCTCCCTCCCTCCCTCCCTCCCTCCCTCCCTCTCTCTCTCTCTCTCTCTCTCTCTGTGTGTGTGTGTGTTTTTATTTTTATAGAAGTTGAAGAATATTATTTATTATTGAATTTTCATCATCTTCATTTTTTTGGGTAATATCTTCACTAAATCAATAAATCATTTGTTTATAATCTATTATTTATTGTCATTGATTATGAAATTTGTTTGAATTACTAACAGAAAACGCATATTATTCTCTTATTGTTCATAATTTTTTATTTTATTATTTTAAGTATTTGGTTTTCTGTAATAAGTAAAAGTGTCTAAAATTTTTTACGAACCTAGTTTGATCTATTTTAAATAAATGATTATATTGCTTTCGTTACAATAATATATTAGACTGATGTACTCTTGCAGATCAACATAACCAGATAATCAAACATAAACTTATTTATCATTGACCTATAATCATATATCAATGATGTAGCATTATATATCAGTAACATGGAAAAATATAACCATTTACCCAAAATAGATCAAACACAATCTGTAAAAAATTTTATAGTTCTGTTTCCCCACCGGTGTGCTTCATTTTGTTGAGTATCGTTAATGTCTCTCGCCTCACATTTATCCTTCACTATCATGATTGTGGCTCATTCACATTACTTTGCTTTCTTCCGTCTTTGAGTTTGATTTATTTGCTTCTTTTGTTGTGATTGCAACTTGTATTTGCCCCTCTCGTATACCTGATTTCTCGCAGATTGAATCTATTCTGACATTTACAAAAAGCAAAGTGTTATAATTTTAAAATGACAGTTTTATAAATTACATATCAACTAAATATTAAAAAAGCTATTTTTAAAATTTAAGAAATGATGAACTATTTTTTTATTTAATCTTATAATATGAGCTATGTGTGCAACAAAAAAAAAGCTTTTTTATTTTTAAAATGATTTTAAACACAAGTGTAAAGAGCAGTTAGGCGTAGGCATTCATAGGACAACACATTCTAATAAAAAAATAAGTTATTATTTATATATTTAATATGCATGAATAAAATAATTTTTAAAATATAATAAATTTTATTTAAATTTTAATTTACATAAGATACTAAATTATAAGTATATTTAAATAAATTACCTTATAAAAATAAATAAATTATTTTTAAAATTTTCAATATTTTTATTTTATTTGTATTTTTTCAAATATTAAAATATTCCTGTACATCATTCGGAAAATTAATCTAACTTAATTGTAAAGTATACATAAGTAGAATAACAAAATATACATTTTATAAAATATCCAAAAATATACATTTTATATTTTCAAAGATAAAATACTAATTAAAAAACTGAATAAAAAGTGGATCACAGAAATTGAGTGAGGACTAAGAATGCAGCATCGTCCTGAGTCCATTAAGAGCCAATGCCATACTAATTGGACGTAGCCTTGTGGTAAAGTAATTGAAATTATTCCTCAGCGCTAGCTTTCATCAAATGCAGCCAATCCCCAAGCAGGTGACAGCTAGACCTGGCCAGTCCTTCTAGAATAGTCTTCTTCATCTTCTTATTGCATGCATGTCGCTATTGGATGGATCCTCATCTAGTTATCCCTGCATTAATCCCTGTATAATAAGCATTGCATTACCCATATTGCGTATTCAATTACTCATGCAACAAAAATATGAATATCTTATTTTCAATTTTTGTCCTTTAGCTTCATGCTCATCTGGAACAAATCTCTGTTTTATAAATATAAATTTCTATGCTAGAAAATTGTAGCTTGTTCCGCTATGACTGCATTGTTGGAAGACAGCATTGCTGATACTTTGTCAAACACGTCTCCTGCAGAAGCTTCTAGATGCTTCATCATCTCTTCCATCTTCCAATCTGCTTTTGATTCTGACATTATTTGGTAGAGCTTCTTGCCCTCCGATTACCATGACATAGTGTCCAGAGCCCTCATTCCCCTCTACTTCTCTTCCAAGAAGGACCTCTTCTATATGCTCTCTCGTCCACTTCTTATTGATGGTGGTAACAAGGTATGACGCTGTATTTCCCCCTCCACATTTTCACCACTCATAAATTTTCAACCTGGTGTCATTATCTTCTTAATGTTGAGTTTCATATTGGATAAGTTGTTTGATAGGAAATCTTACATTCTGTCCGCAAGGGAGCTATCCATAAGCTAGAGCGACAACCCTCTATCATGGAGCTGGATACCAGTGCCTGAATCAAGGTAACTTTAAATCTGAGGTGATGTTAATTGCAACAGATACGTAATTTCTGATGAAAGGTTAAATTTTGCAGATTTTTGATGGTAGTAATACTTAGAACAGTGAGCTGGTTGGAAATGTAAGGTAAAATCAGAACAAGGAATGTATCAGCAAGCACGTGGTACGAAGTATACATGATAATGAAGCTATTAGGAGTACACACGGGCTTGATTCTGCAGTGTCCAAAATGAGTGTTCAAGTGCGAAACAGAGTGAAGAGCGGAAGGGGACATAACCTGTGAGATAGTACACGTGCCATTAGTTAATTATTTGTATATGTTGTATTTTAGTTGTAGCAACACTTGTTCAGTTATATTGTCGTAACTAATTGATAGCTAATCATCCTGTATCTTATTTTATTATAAATACAAGATATCAAGCCTATCAGTAACTATCTGATTAAGCCTTTCTTCATTTTCTAAATTCTTCACTTGATATCAGAGCTACTAGAAACAAGCACAGGGTCCCATATATCAGTATGTAAAAGATCAAGTACAGTAGAAGCACATGAATTAGACCGGTCAAAAGGCAATAAGTAAGACTTGCCATATTGGCATGCGTCACAAAAAGAGGAAGCATCTTTATTGATATTCATATTACAAGAAGACAAAATCTTATGAAAAACTGAGAATGAGGGATGGCTAAGATGTTGGTGCTAAAGTTGAAATTGAGTATTTGAGGTGGACTAAGAACATGCAATCATTGCAGCTAGATGTGCTTCTTTGAGCTTGACCATTACATAAGAGCTTCCCTTAAGTATTCCTTGTCACAGGACTTTCTTAGTCATTCGGTCCTTAACATAACAACTAGTATGATTAAATTCGACAGAAACAAGATTATCAATAGTTAACTTGGTAATATTCAGCAAGTTATACTGAGAACTATGGACATAAAGCATGTTAGATAGATGAAATGACCGATGAGAGGTAGCACATGCTAATGAAGAAGATCCAAAGCATAGAATAAGAAGTCAAGAGCCATTATAACTAGTTAAAAAAATGCTTACTATCTAACACAACTTGATCCTGCATCAAACGAGGATCATGAACAACATGATCTGTGGCTCCACTATCCATAAGCTAAGCAAGATCCCTAATAGTTTGAGTTGTAGCAATATATGTAACAGGTTGTAAAGGAGAAGCAGAGTACTGGAAGCTTCGACAACTTTGATCATTGTTGTATTGTGAAGACGAACATTGCGATCAAATCTGAAATAGCAATCAGAAGCAATATGACTAGTTTTCCCACATACTTGACATATTGGTCATTAGCCTTGACTATAACATTAGCGGCCATGATTAGATTTGCCGCCACCTCCTCGATTGTTTGGATTACCACAATCGCGATTGTTAGACCTATCTGACTTGGCAATACTAGTAGATGGATTAGAAATAGAAAGAGACGACATATTTTTATACATTTCAAAATGGCACTCAAAAGTTAACAACTCATACTGAAGAGAAAGCCATGTAAGATCATGTTTGCCCATCAACATACACACAATCGAATTATATTCCATATCAAGACCACATAAAGTGATCGTAATTAACTCCTCATCAGGAACAAGAGCGCCAGTAAGGCTTAATTGATCTACTAAATTCTTAACTCACGCAAGACACTCAATCATGCTAAGAGTATTTTTTTCAAATGCATTGAAGCTTTGCTTTATGCATTAAAACTTTAGATCTGTTGTCTACACCGATTAGGTCCCTGACTGTGATCTAGAGATCACACGAAGTGCGACAATGAACCAACTGACTACTAACTTTTGGTGTCATGAAAGAGAGAAGCCAACCAAAAATCATTTGATCTGTAGCAATCCACTCTTTATATTATGGATTGATCATTAATTCATCATCAGCTAACCATTTGGTAGGACCGGTCTTGAGACCTGTCACGAAACCATCTAGATTTGGCCTCAAAGTAGAGAAAAAATCAATGAGCTCCAGTGCAAATAGTTGTGGCAATCTAGCTTAATCGAAGAAGACTGAGAGACACTAAAGGAAGTAGAAGAGGATATGGAAGAAAGAGAGGGAAGATTAGGAAAGGATGAGGTGGAGGGAGAAGAGTTGGTACTCAAGATCAAAGAGGTAGCCATTGAGAAAAAATCGAGAGGCTCATGATACCAAGTGTGTGGTTTGACAAGTTACAAACTACATTGCTTCAATGGGGCTTTAAAAATGCAAAGTGTGATACTTCTCTATTTTAGTTCAAACAACATGACTATATTCTTGTCCTTGTTTATGTAGATGATATTATAGTAACTGGAAATCATCCTACCAAAATTAAAACTTTTATAGCAAAACTCAATTGTATGTTTGCTTTATGGGTGATCTTTATTATTTTCTTGGAATTGAGGCCAAACATGATTATGTTGGTCTTCATTTATGTCAAACTAAGTACATTGTTGATATCCTAAAGAAGCATGGTATGCTTGATTGTACACCTTGTCCCATACCTATGGCTATTGGTCAAACTTTATCAGCCTTTGATGGTGATCCTCTTCAGCATCCTTCTTATTATCGAAGTATAATTGGTGCGTTGCAATATGTGACTTATATTAGGCCTAACATCTCATATGCAGTTAATAAACTAAGTCAGTTTCTTTGTAAACCTACTACCATTTATTGGAAGCTGTCAAATGTGTTTTCAATATCTCAAAGGCATTGCAATTCTAGGTATTCACATTAAAAATTCAAATGATCTTCACTTCACTAAGTATTTAGATGTAGATTAGGCTTCTTGTCCTGATGATAGGCATTCTATTCGTGGCTATTGTGTCTTCTTTGGCAATTATTTAATTTCTTAGTATTCTCATAAGCAGGAAGTTGTCTCTCGCTCCATCACAGAGTTTGAATATTGTGCCTTAATTGATCTGGCATCAGAATTAATGTGGCTTCAATCTTTACTTCAAGAAGTTGAATTTCCAATGTATCGAACTCCTCGAATCTAGTGTGATAATGTCAGTGCTCAGGCCTTGGCAAGCAACCCTGTCTTTCATGCCAGAACAAAACATATAGAGCTAAATGCTCACTTTATTTAGGATCTTGTATTACCTGGTCGAGTGATTATTGGATATGTTCCTTCTCATGATCAGTTAGTTGACTGTATGACAAAACCTCTGTTACATACCAGGTTTTGGTCTCTTTGAAGCAAGCTTGGGATTCTTCCAACACCCCTTCGCTTGAGGGGCCATGTGAGATAGTGCATGTGTCATTAGTTAATTTCAGTTGCAGAAACACGTGTTCAGTTATATTGTTGTAACTGATTAATAACTAATCATCATGTATCTTATTTTATTATAAATACAAGATATCAGGCCTATCAGTAGCTATCTAATAAAGCCTTTCTTCATTTTCTAAATTATTCACTTAACTTTGGCACAAACGAGAAGACGCAGAAGATAGAGAGTTTGTTTTACAAGGACAAGAGACAAAATGAAGAAGAAAGGGTTGAGATTCCATACAAAAGAGAGGATGGATGGATGGAGATAAAGTTGGGAGAATTCTTCAGTGGGACTAGCCATAAGGGGGTGAAGATATTAAGCTCAGCTATTATGATTGAAGAATTTATACCAAACGCCTCAACCATTTCACCAAACTCTCTCGTTCCTGTTCTTTGCATGCTCTTCGTTGAAAACAAAGGCAAAGAACAGAGCAAAACAGAATAGAGAAATTAAACCAAGATCCCGAAATAAAATGGGGAGAAAGCTGTCTCTCCCTCTCTCACACACACGTGGTTTTCAATTTATCTCTCTTGTTTATGTGAAACTGAGATTGAGGATAAGAATATTTTCTTCATGAGTCCCAGATGCATGCGTAACGTAATTGTGGATTTCTGATCCACGTTTGTGCCAGCGCATCATTTTATCCCCTCTGTACTGTATACGTTCTTCATTGTGCCGTTAAAACACAACAATTTCAAAGTTAACACGGCTGAGTTAGTAACATAAAATCAGCAAAATGATCGAATAAAGGTCATCGATTTTTGAACAAAATTAAGAAATCAATACAAATCGTGGGAGGGGATTCCCCAGGAACAAAGATGTGGTCATGTGGAGGCCTCATGTTGACATGGTATACATGCTCAAAAGAACAAATGTCGTCATAATATCAATATGATCGGACCGTATCTCATCTCAGTGTGCATATATATAGAACCACTAACAGAGCACTAAATTCACGAATATTGCAAATAGAGCAGTATATTGTTATTATCACACAATTATTCCAGAGCATTGCACGAACCATAGCCACCACGTTCGTTGCATTGATTATCTGGGCATACGAAGGTACGTTAGTATGACTGCTCCTCCTCGTAGTATCATGGTTGTAAATTAACGTATAGATGCATGATTTTTTATAAAATCCAATATAAAATGCGTGGTTGGAGATATTATAATATTGAAGGCTCATTAGCATGGCCGCGATAGGTGGAGGACAGCACATTCCTCACGGAAGAGTTTATGTATACCAAATTCACCTAAAGCTCGTGACCTTGCTATTTGCCTTCAAATGCTGCAAACACGCATAGCCCCTCGCTAGGAGACTACACAGTGCTTTTTCTTTCTTTCTTTCTCTCCTTCTTCTTTGTCTGGACATCTAGCCCATGAGAGTCTATCAATATTGGAAATTTTAAACCCCAGTAGAAATGGGCCTGATGATGAATTCAGTGGACTTAAATGGTTTATTTTGGACCTAAGCTTATTATCAGGTTTATTCGAGCTGACCTTTCACAAACATTTTTTATCATTTATTTTGGTCTGTCATGTTTTATGATGCATCTAATTTAAATAATTCTCTTGTTAGTAAATTGCACGTCAACTTACTAACGGAAAAAGAGAATTATATTAGATATATTTGCAACATGAGAGACAAAATAAAAAAGATTTTAAAATCAAAATTGGGAATAAAGTTTGTAAAACTGCAAATGGTAAGCATATAAAAAAAAAAATGCGGAGTATTTACAGAGACTGGAGAAAAGATGCCAAACGAAAAAAGTACGTAGTAATTAGGTAAGGGCTGATTGGGCATACTCAGGCAGGGGAGCAAATATGAATTCTCTATATTTTATTTAGCAGAATTCATATTTGCTCCACTGCCTGTGGATGCTCATTTGGCCTCTTAGGATTAAAATTACGTGAATTAGACCACGACTTCATATTGTGGCTCTAATTTTCGTACATAGCTAGGATGTCCATGGAAGGTAGGTATAAGTGAAGTTTCTGTCAGATTCACGCTATTAAATTCTAAGTTTCCAACGGCATCGTGTTGGCCTCCTAAACGATAAGTCGGAGAGAATATAATATATATACTTATTGAATTTGTTCTCTGGACATTCTTAACCCGTGCCAAAGGTCAATGCCAAACATGTGGCCTGGCATGCGTTCGCTCAAGTCACTGATAAGTGATAATGTGTGTTCTTGTGAGAAGCTTTGGTGTATATATTTACCGATCGCAAAAGAGCAGAATATTTAACCATGAGGAACCTTTATCCTGACATGCAGCTTTTTGGAATAATATATGTATATATATATATATATATATATTAAATTTGCAAATACATTTTTAATACGCTGTCTGTCGTTGGATTGGACCACCTGTGATTCCAAGAAGTTCAATATTCTGCTTGTCTCCAACTCGTGCATGAAATGCGCTTGGCGGCAATATTGTCCCCAATATTTTGCTTTACAAAATAACGTGTCCGATGCCCTTAAAAAAATCTGTGAAGGACAAGAAATTACCGTTAACGGAGTTAAACTAGTAACTAGAAATAGTTTAATGTTGGTGAATTCCTGGACGTGGAATGGGTTTCGAAGCCAATCGAGAGCAGCTAGCAAGCAGAGAGAGATTGATATGGACAGTGAGGAGAGGAGAGTGCATAACCGGGGCAGAGCAGAATCAGAGCATGCCCTCCGCAAAAGGAAAGCATTAGAATAACTTGAGGCTGTGAAAAGGCCAAAGGGACGTGCTGGAATGTTAAACCCAGAAGAAAAGACCATAACTTGCTTTGGCGGCAAACAATCCCATATTCTTCCCTCGTGTATAAAAGTCTCATGGAAAGGCCTTCCCTTGAACATATGATCACTGCCTTTCTGCCACATCTCCAGCATGGCCCAGCCCCTTCATTATTTCCTTTTCATTCTCATCCTTTTACCTTCCCTCATGAAAATTGATGCTTTCTTAGACGAAATCCCCTCAGACACCAGAAACCAGCTAGACTTGCATGCCATGATTGCCCAGGTCTGCATGGACGTTGAAGACCACAACACGTGCCTCGCCAATATCCAAAACGACATTGTCAAGCATGGGCCTCCAACCCCGTCTTCAGTTGTAACTGCCGCACTCCGAGCCACTCTCAACGAAGCCATGGGTGCCATTGACAAGATCTCCAAGTTCAGCACTTTCTCCATCAGCTACCGCGAGCAAGTAGCCATCGAAGATTGCAAGGAACTCCTTGATTTCTCTGTGTCGGAGCTGGCCTGGTCGCTAGGCGAGATGAGGAGAATTCATGTAGGCGATAAAACCGTTGACTATGATGCCGACCTTCAAGCCTGGCTGAGTGCAGCGCTCGGCAACCAAGACACCTGTCTCGAGGGCTTCGAAGGCACCGACAGGCGTCTTCAGGGTTACATCAGTGGAAGCTTGACACAAGTCACGCAGCTAATAAGTAACGTTTTGGCTCTGTACACCCAATTGCATAGCTTACCCTTCAGGCCTCCGGCTAATAAAACTAGGCTGGCGAGTGATCAGAGCTCGGAGCAATTTCCAAAGTGGATGACAGAGGGTGATCAAGAGTTGCTGAAATCTAGGCCACAAGGGGTGCATGCCGACGCTGTGGTGGCGCTGGATGGGAGCGGCCATTACCGTTCCATTGCAGAAGCTGTTGATGCGGCTCCAAGCCAGAGCAACCGGAGGTATATTATTTACGTGAAAAAGGGCATTTATAAAGAGAACGTGGATATGAAGAGGAAGAAGACCAACATCATGTTCGTAGGAGAAGGCATCGGCAAGACCATCGTCACAGGAAACCGCAATTTCATGCAAGGATGGACCACCTTTCGAACTGCCACCGTTGGTAAGTAATTATATACAACCTATTGACTTGTCCCGTACGTGATTTAATTTCTGATTGGCCGATAATGTTGAAATTGGCAGCTGTATCGGGGAAGGGATTTATAGCAAGGGACATGACATTTCGAAACACGGCAGGGCCAGAAAATCATCAGGCAGTGGCTCTGCGGGTGGACTCGGACCAATCAGCGTTCTACAGGTGTAGTATAGAAGGTCACCAAGACACGTTGTATGCGCACTCCCTCAGGCAATTCTATCGTGAGTGCGAAATCTATGGCACCATAGACTTCATATTCGGCAACGGAGCCGCGGTGCTGCAAAACTGCAAGTTATACACAAGAGTGCCAATCCCATTGCAGAAGGTCACGATAACGGCTCAGGGCAGAAAAAGCCCACACCAAAGCACTGGGTTCATAATACAAGACAGCTTCATTCTCGCCACTCAACCCACCTATTTAGGTAGGCCGTGGAAGCAGTACTCCAGGACGGTGTACATGAACACGTACATGAGTGGGCTCGTGCAACCTAGAGGGTGGCTCGAGTGGGCTGGCAACTTTGCCCTCGGCACCCTGTGGTACGGGGAGTATAAGAACTATGGACCTGGTTCGTCGCTTGCCAGAAGGGCCAACTGGCCTGGTTTTCACATTATTAAAGATGCCGCCACCGCCAACTATTTCACCGTTCAGCACTTCCTTCATGGCGATTCATGGTTGCCCGCCACGGGTATTAGGTTCACCGCTGGCTTGACCAATTAAGTACTACCATTCTTGGTGCCTACTCCTTATTGCCAATATATGCCACGTCCAATAATTACATCATTGGAGTGGAGGATGATCATATTATTCTATTTAGTATAGTCAATGGTGCTTTGATTCTCTAGAATTATCGGCCCTCTTTTTATATTATTTTTGAGTGGCTTGAGATGTGATGTCAATATTAAAAAAAGTCTAGGTTGAAATTTTATTCAAATTTTATAATAAAATTCGATGACTATGTGATTTTTGTAATTCAATGTCATATTTATTTTATATATATATATATATATAACTTTTTTTAAAAATAGAATCTCGAAAGAGTTTGAGGGTGGGGGATGTAGAGGAAGGCCCTGAAAGATGCGATTTGATTGATGATAGAGCAAAGAAAGTCGCCAACGATAGCCCATAGGGTTTGGTACATATCGGGCTAAAATTAAGCAAATTCTGACATGATTCATGATTTTAAGAATAGGGGAAAATCTGGTAGTTCAGTTTTGACAAAGATTAGAAGCTCTCGAGAGAAATTAGCACTTAAAGTTCAAACATATCCCAAGAGAGGTTAATCGTGTTGCTGACCGTCTTACCAAGGATTGCCTTTGTTCAAAATGTGCTTTTCTAGGTTGTGCCTCAGGGCACTTGGAGGCTCTGTTGAATTTTGAATTTATAGTAATATGGGATGTCAATACCCTTCAAGTATCAAGTTATTTGATGTTCAGGGCCTAGTTCCCTCTTTCTATATCAAAAGACAAAAATGCAAACTCCGTGCACTTTGGTTTTTCGTAATAAGATCTAAGTACCTTCATTTCCCAGTCAAAAACAAGCCAGAATTTGCACGAAACTGATGCTAAAAATTACACTTGACTTAGAACTCAGCACAATTTTAGTTGGAAACTAGTCAACTACACTTTGTCGAGCGTTGATCCTCTTCCGAGACTACACACGGCTCGCCACCCTTCAATTATATCTATGGATTTTCTAAACAACATTTTAGCCATGAAGAAACATGCTATAGTTCTTGTCTTGTATAACCACAATGTATATATGTATGTATGTCTATGTCTATATACATATTAGAAGCACAGAGCAAAGACGTGTTGTATGTGTTTGGATAAAAACTGTTAGGTTGACTTGTCTGGTTTTCTTTATTATGAAAGCAATCACGAGCAAGAGGTTTATCTTCTGCCAACAGCATATAGAAGCTTTACGATTTGTTTTCATAAACAATAGAGCGGGAGCAAATAATTAATCAAACATGAATCACGTGGCCATGCGAAGCGCTAGCTTTCAAAGGGTTTCAAGACTCTAGGATTGGAACATCTACCCCGGACTCCCATTGGATGCTTAGTTCAATTACATTGATTAACCAAAACACAGACACTTGCCCTTGAATAAATAAACTTGAGGGGCTGAATATCTATGCGTCGTTGTTTTAAAAAGGAAAGGCAGAAACTAAATATCACCTGATGGGGTGGTGTGCATGAGCCGAGATACACACAAGTGGCGACAACAGACACGATGAATAGCCGTCAAATAAGGTAAAGCATTCCATCTTATATTCATGATTAGAAACTGATCACTGCCTTTAATTTTCATCCGTCCCCCAGCATTTTCGCACCTCCCATATCCAAACTCAAATTTCAACCCTTGTTTGCTTTATAAATATGTCCTAGTTTGGAGCCGAGGAAACCTCAAAACCCAGCACTTTAGAGGGTGTTCTCAGACGATTACGTACCACCGCCTCCACAGCTTGGGCGGCTCCTTTTCTCATTTTCCTGGCTAGATAGTACGCACCATTTAAACAAGTGTTAATTTTCAGATAATACTTCTTTGATGTCTAATCATGATTATTATTGTTATATTTTTATAGGAAGGTGGCCTTTAAACCTGCTGGGAGGAGCTGCTTAATACATCGAAAATGTCCGGGGATGGACAGAACAAAAGGAGAATAGCCATCATCGGCATCTCTTCCATCTTACTGGTGGGCATGGTGGTGGCCGTGACGGTTGGCGTGACGTGGAAGCAGACAGATTCTGACGAGGAAGACAAGGCTTCAGACAAGACCGTGTCTAACAAAGTAAAAGCAGTGCAGAGCCTGTGCGCCCCCACCGACTATAAGAGAGAATGTGAAGAGAGCCTAGAGGCTGAGGCTGGCAACTCCACGGACCCCAAAGACCTCATCATGAAGGCCTTCAACGTCACCATCAAGAAGATTGAGAAGAGCCTCCGAGAGTCCGATACCTTGCACGAGGCAGAGAAGGATCCCCGGGCCCAAGAGGCCCTCCAGACCTGCAAGCATCTCATGGAACTTTCCATCGGCGAGTTTAAGAAATCGCTCAACACCTTTGAGACCTTTGATTTCTACAACCTGGACAAGATTCTCATGAACCTCAAAGTGTGGCTGAGCGGGGCTATCACTTACCAAGAAACATGCATAGAAGGGTTCGAGGATGCCAAGAGCAACGCCGGTCAGAAGATGAAGCAGGCACTCACTGCCTCCATGCACATGAGCAGCAATGGCCTCGCCATCGTCAACGACATGGCCGAAGCTTTGTCCAATCTGCACATCACAAAACAAGGAAGGCGTCTGCTTAATGATCAGGAGGATGGTAACGAAGATCATCACGGCGAGGTGGGTGCAAACGAGGACGGCGCGAGACCCGATGGTGACTTCGAGTTCCCCGTGTGGGTTGATGAAAATCCTGCTGCCCGGAGACTACTGACGAGCGACCATAAAAGCAAGCTGAAGCCCGACGTGGTAGTAGCTCAAGACGGGAGTGGGAAATACAAGAAAATCAAAGATGCGTTGAAGCACGTGCCGAAGAAGAACAAGAAGCCGTTCGTGATCTACATCAAGGAAGGGGTGTACAAAGAGTACGTGGAGGTGGAGAAGGACATGACGTACGTGGTGTTCGTGGGGGATGGTGGCAACAAGACCCGCATCACCGGCAATAAGAACTTCGCTGATGGCATCGGCACCTACAACACCTGCACGGTGTCGATAGAAGGGGACCACTTCATCGCCATCAACATGGGGTTCGAGAACTCGGCCGGTCCTGACGGACACCAGGCGGTGGCATTGAGGGTTCAAGCCGACTTTTCCATATTCTACAGGTGCCAATTGGATGGGTACCAGGACACGCTGTATGCTCACACCATGCGTCAATTCTATAGGGACTGCGTTATCACCGGCACCATAGACTTCATCTTCGGGGACGCCGCCGTTGTGATGCAAAATTGCACGTTCGTGGTGAGAAAGCCAAATGAGAACCAGCAATGCATAGTGACGGCGCAAGGGAGGAAGGAGAGGCATCAACCGTCAGCGCTGGTGATCCAGGGAGGGTCCATAGTGTCGGACCCCAAGTTCTATAAAGTGAGGTTTGAGAACAAGGCGTACTTAGCACGCCCATGGAAGAACTTCTCAAGGACCATCATAATGGAAACCTTCATAGATGACTTGATTGATCCGGAAGGGTTTCTCAAGTGGGACGCTAACTCCACATCCTACAAGACATGCTGGTATGGCGAGTTCAATAACACGGGGCCTGGTGCCAAAAAAAGCCATCGAGTCAAGTGGAACGGCATCAAGAATCTCACGGCACAACATGCTCTAGATTTCACACCCTTAAGGTACTTCAAGTCTGATTACTGGATCAGGGAAACCAGGATTCCTTACAATCCCACCACAATGTCCTCCCCTCCATTTAGTCCTCAGAAGATCTCCTCTCAATGAACTGCTGTTCATTTCATTATTCTTTAGGAGGGTGCTCACTAATTAATCTCTAGGTGCTTCTTTAGTTTCTTTACCTTTTTCCTTTTCTTTCTTCATTTTTTGATGTGTACGTACTGACTCTTGCCCTACGTACACTACACGACATTTAATTAATGCTGTACCTACTTGTTTTTTCCCTCACTCAAATGTCAAATAGCCTCTTCTCTTTAGTTCTGCTCCCCAGTCCAAACCTCGAGTTTCATCCCCATTCCAATTCTAATCTATATGCTAGTTTCATGGTAACATTGTATTTGCTTCTTTCTTTCCACGTGGATATTTATGGGTTTTCACACTTAATACGATCATTTCAATTTTTAACGTTTACCTATAACAACGGTAGCACATCTTCTCTCAAACAAAGACGCGGGCGATATAACGTTATACTTTACCTATAAGATAAACAAGTTATTATTTGATAGCTTTATACTTGGGAGTCCTTTTTAAAAAAATATATACAAGTAAGTAAACCGGGGTTGGTGCTCAACCAATGCACCCACAATCAAATCATTTCGGCTGTATTCGAAAAGCACTTGTCACCACCTAAAAACGGAGAAGAGAGGTTCGAAGCAGATTTCACATTATCGTAATCATAAAACTATGACCATCAATATTGCATTAGGGGCGAGTTAAAGGGCAACCTTCCCAAACACAGCAAAAACATCTATTGAATTGGCAAAAAGAAAATAGAAATATCAAGGCATAAAAGTATATCCAAACATGAATACTATGAATTGTCTTCAGCTCTGGCAAAAAAATTTTGTTCTCGAAGTATTAAAACAGCTGGAAAAAAATGGGGCTAGTGTATCGAACTTGCACTTAAACCCTAAATCCTTTACTGTTCCTCCTTCCGCTAGCACGCTCAAACTTCCTTCCCTTTGATCGCACATAAGGCTTGCTGTGGCTGTGTGGCACACCAGGAGCAGGACCAAAATGCTTCACAGCCTCACCAGAATTCTTGGGGCCTCTAAGAAGGACCTATTTCAAGGAGTTAAAAATAAAATGTTAACAGTTCAAAAGACTATTTCCTCAGCAATCCCATACACATCACACACCACACACCTACCGTGTTCTGTCCCAGAGAAGACCCAAGAGCCAGCTGATCAAAAGTCAAGCACTCGCCGCCAGCCTTCTCTCTATCCTTGCACGTGCTGTCTCTGTAAACCGGAGTGCAGCAACTTTCAAAGGGGGAGCTTCATAAACTCGCACATCATCAGTCATAGTCCCCACCAAAACTGCATCTTATCTGCCTACACACAGAGATTTCAGAAGCGCGTTAATGGACACAAAAATAGTCAAACACCAATCTTAAAGATTACCGAAACTCAGATATAGAAGAACAAACCTTCCCCTTCATGAACTTTATCAATCTCGACAAAGAAAGGGGAGCCTTGTTGACTTTGCTCATGAAAAGACGCTTGAGTATGACAGCATTGAAACTGCTTTCAGTTCTCCGCTCTAGAAAGCGATAAAGCTGATCATGTAACATCTAATCAGACTATTTCAAGGTATATAAGGATTTTCAACAGCACTTTCACATACGAGTAGCTACAGACAGAAGAGAAAAAATTTTACTCGAAGAAATTCTTCGTGACATTACTGTAAATTAACACCCAATTTTTTACAAAATTTAAAATTGAGAATTGAAGCATAATAATGAGATGAATTAATGGCTCCCTCAGCGATACAAATTAGTATGATCAATCATATGTTATCAGCATTAGCATGGTTTTTAAACATCATCGGGAACCTTTTCTCCTAGGCAAGCATAAAATTGGCATCATCACAATAAAACTCAATATAAAACTGAATCAAAACAAAGCTTACAAGAAGGGAAAGAAGCTGCCCTATATTTAACGCTGATGTCATTAATGGTTGAGTCGAGCAGTATATAAGGCAAATTAACGAAAAAGAATTTAGATTTCCCAACCATAGCGCTGCAAATTATTTAACCAGATTGCCCTGATTCGAATTAAAATTGTTACATCTTCACATTTTGATTTATAGAATGCATTTCTACGCCTCCTGCAAAGATTAGCAAGGTTTCATTTGAACAGATGGCAGTGCGTTTCTAGCATGGTTGGTCGAAATTTGTTACTTACTAAGTAAATAAGAAACGAAAACGAAAGTTGTTGTCGAGAGAGAAAGGTGCTTCAGGCTCAGATAAATGTGGATAAAACTATTCCCAGACTTTCAAATGGTGAATGTCTCATAATGAGCTGGGTTCACATTTATCATCATCGGAAGAGTATACAGCAATACAAGCATCAAACCGTGAGCCAACTGCTTATGCCAGGAAGAAATTTACTAATGGTTTCCGTGAGCAAATGAAAATATACAAACGATAAGGAGTATGATATGAACCTTAACAAGGAGCTTGAGGTTGATATCACTGGACTTGGGTGCCGTTCTTTTGGTCTTCTTGCTCTTCCCGCCGGCTTTAAGATCGATCCCCTGTGCACAAATAGAAAAAAAGAAAAATATATTCACGGCAGGCACATACAGGAGAAAGACGAGCACTCAGAAAGCTAGGGTGCGGGAGAACGAACCATTGTTGCCGAGCCGACGACGTCCCTCGGCCCTTCACGCTCACGCTCAGAAGGAAATTTGGGGCTTCGACTATTTTTTAAGGCCGATCATGGGCCGGATCTTTCTTTTTGGATGTGGATCGCACATGACGACTGGTCTAATTATATATATCGTGGTCATATTTAAAAAAAAAAAAATCATATTTCGTCCCCTTTTATTTTAAAAAATCTTGACATGGATATACAAAATCAATTTAGACTTCCCTTTAAGAAGAATGTAATATAATATAACTTTTATCTTATTTTTATATAATATAAAAATATCAATCATGCATTACTAATTTGTAAAGTTCTACATTCTATATTTTATGTATATATATAATATAATAATTCTAAATTTGGTGTGGCAGCTTCGGTACAAGAAATACTTAAGTAGATTAAGTATTCCATATCATTTATGGTCTGTTGAATTAAAATACTTCAATTAATCTAAATAAAATCTTGTGTAACATTTTTTTAAATTGATTTTATTTTTATAACATAATTTATATTTAATTTTTTATTTTTTCTCTCTCTATTATCATTAATATCAGAATCAATTTATATTTAATGTCATATAAATATCATGTTGTTTTAAACAGACTATAAATGATATGATGCACCTAATTTACCTAAATGTTTCTTAACTCGATGCAAAATATGGAATCCACCTCCATGTTATAGTTTTAGGAGTAAAAATTTTATATATTATTTGATTTGATTAAATTATTAAACAACTGAATACGAATTCTGAGCCAAACCTCATTTGTATTTCAGTGTTTGCAGTGCCAAAAGGGCCTGCCTACAATGTAAATTAATTTGCACGGTACAAATCATCCCACGTTTATTGTTTAGTATAAAAATATATATACCCAATATCTTGTGTGAGATATTCTCTACTCCTCTCAATTGAACTTAAAGTATAAACTGGAAGCTGCTTAAAGTGCGGAATCCAGTTATTTCATGGTCTATTGAGAATTTTTTTTAAGGAGAACATATGGGTTATTTGAAATTGTTTTTATTTTATTATTTTGAGAATTGATATTTTGTAGAATATATTATGAGAATAAAAAATAATAAAAATATGTATTTTTTTCATTCTCCTTTATTTTTCAGAACAATAATCCATAACACTTAAAAGTTTTTTTTATTTTTTTATTTTTCATAACAATATTTTATTTTTTTATTCTCTAAAATACTTTTTAAAAACACATTACCGAATAAATTTTTTTATTCTCTTATTTTAGAGAATAGAAAAATATTCTCAAAACAGATTTTCAAACAAGCTCATAATCTTTTGTCCCTATAGTTTCATCGAGTTTTATTTTTAGTCCCTTAGGTTTTTTTTCATTGTTTTTAGTTCTTAAATAAACTGAAAATAATGAAAAAAACTGAAACTATAGGAACATAAAAGACAAAGGCTAATCAATCTTTTTAAAGCTATAAATATTAAAAACACGGAAGAAAATATCAAGACTAAAAATAAAACTTGATGAAATTATAAGAACCAATAATTATACATGCTTTTTTGCGTTGGCTCCCTTAATCAAATATTTCCATATTTATCTAGACTATGGGAGTAATCTAAGGTAGTGTTTGGAAGTTTATTTTTGAGACATAATGGAATGGAGGGGATAGCTAGAAATAATTATACTGTTATTTAGAAGAATTTTTAAAAAAGAGTGAAATGGTTTCATGGTTTGAAATAATCTTTCAAGTTATCCTTAGCTATCTTAAACTTATTTTTTTATAACTTTTCAATTTGGGGGATTAAAGATAGAATGTCACGATATAAATAAGATTATTACAAAATTAACCCATTCTTTTTACCTCCACTATTTTACTTATTCTCGCCTTGAAATTGAAGAGTATAATTATATCTGCTTCAAACATGTTAATTTTATAATTATTCTAAAATAATCATTAAATAAAATCATTGATTTCTCTAATGAAACTCTCAAACTATAAAATGTTCTATTCCATTCTGCTCTATCCCACTTCTCTCCATTTCACTCCATTAATGACCATTCATTCTCATTTCATTTTATGCTCTTAAACATACTCTATTACATTCCTTTCTGTTCCATCTTTCCCACTCCTCTTTGTAGTAATAACACAAAGTCCACTACGATTGTATCGACACAATTAAATTTGATTACCAAGGGCTGTGACCAAATGTAGAGTTGGGCATATAGGTTGAGTTATACAAGTTGGCCTTAGAGCTAGTAATTCGTGCAGGATGAGCTTTTTTGAGTCGGCCTCAATTCGAGTTGAAATTATTCGAATTGGGCTTGAAGTGTCTTTTTTTTTTTTAAAAGCCCATACAGCCAAGCCCAACCTTAACACCTCTAGGTTCTGAGCTTATTCGAGCTGGTCCGAATATTCAAAACTTTTTAAAAATCTTTTTTTAAATAATTTTAATTTTTAAATAATTTTATTAAGCATAAAATATTATTTTAAATTTAAAAAATAAAATAAAATAATAACTTATTAACTTTATATTTAAGTAGCTCTGTTATTGTTTTGTTATATTATGTCTAATTTATTTATGAATGTTTCCTTTACTTGTAAATTAACGTATTAATTATTTAAATATTGTTCTTATCATAGTCATATATAAATATTTTATATATTTTAATTATAATTAAGTTAATCTTAATTCAATCACAGTTAAGCTACTGACTTAAAATTATTATCTCGATTAGTTCATAGTTTTTAATAATTTTTAGGTAAATTATACTTTTTATTTTTATGAATATAAGAAAAATAGCCATCATTATATTATATAAAATAAAATTATTTAATTATGAGTAAAATATTAATCATTTTTCTTTAACTTTTTATATTGTTTAACCCTTACATATAAAAAATTTTTATTCTAATTTATTCTTAATTTTTAACCAAGTCTAACATGAACAATAACTAAGAAATTATTTAAGAATATTATTTTATTTATTATGTTTATTTATTAGTAGAGTTGAGCATTCATACATGCCCAAATTTTATTTTTAAAACTATTTTTAATTTTATTTTTACTTTAAAATTAATTATCTTATTTTATAAAAAATATAAAATTATTTTTTATACTCAAATGATGTATAGGACTTAAATTTTTTTAAAAATTTGGGTCTTAAAATATAAAAATTAATATTAAAATATACTTTAAATATTATTTTGAGATATTTTATTAATTAAAAATAATAAAAATATGAAAATATAGCTTTTTTTAATTTTTTTAAAATAACTATATTAATATACTCAAATATATAGTATCCTGTTATAAAATGATAATAAACTTAAAAATTAATTAATATTTATCATATTTTATATATTTTAAAAAAATTATTTTTTTATTTGGCTATTCGAGCCAAGCCAGAATTCCCTTGGGCTTATTCTGGCAGCTCAAATAGGCCCAAAAAATAAAAAAATTTTGAGCTTGGCCTAAACTTTTCGAACGAATTTAGGCTTGGCCTAAATTACTAGTTCTAAGTTAGCCTGTGTAACCTTTTAAATAGATCAACTGGCTTGCCAAAAAACTTGACCCAAATAAAAAAAATGAGTTTTTAACTCATACCATTTAAGCCTTGAATTGAATGGGTCATGGATTATGGTTTGGCTTGCTTAACCCATATTTTTAAAAATTACAATATGAAAGAAGAAAGGCCAAACTTCACAACACCACTTAATCAAAAACAAAGAAAAAAAAAAAAAAAAAACTCAGCCCAAATTACTAAATTGCATCCAGCTTCTTCTTTTCCCTTGTGTTCGAATATCATTCATACTCTTAACACACTTTTCATTTTGAACTTGTGAACTTTGACGGGCATAACAAAATTCAAGTTTATTTTGGAATTATGGTAGGTATATTGTAACTTATGAAGGTTAATTATGAGAGCTTTTACAGATATAACCTATGTTATATAATAAAATTAAGCAAATAATTCAATATTTATTATATTTTGTATTGGGATCAGTTTATTATAATTGTTAATGACATACCATTGTATATCAATGACAAACATTTATAAATTTTTAATGATAAGCCCCTTATATATTAATGTCAATTAGCCATACTTTTAAATTTTTAAAAATTTGGTCTATATTTTTTGGGCATAAGATGTTTTTTTTTTGGGCTAGTGGACCAATTCATCCATAGTTATATATTGATTGTGATGTATTTTGATAATTATTTCATGATAATTGTGTTTTATTGACATAGATAATCATGCTATAATGTGAACTTTAGGTTGTATGTGATATTAACATGTATTGTTTATGTACAATTTTTTAGAAAAAATTCAAAAAGAAAGCAAGAATAAGTTAAATAGATTGGCCCTAAATATGATAATTGGGATAGGCCGAGCTCAATTTGAGTTGAATTTATTTGGATTGAGTTTAAAATGTCCTAACATATAAAAAAGTATCTGTGGCCAACCCGACTATAACCTCTCAGGCTTTCAGGCTACCTCAAATACCTGAATTTTTAAATATTATTTTATTTTTTTATCTTTGGCATAATGTCACTTTTATTTTTTAAAAAATTTATATGTTATACTTCCATTTTATATTTATATTATTTTATCAATAATAAAAAAAATTTAGATATTTGGATTAAGCCCATTTTGGGTTGAGGGCTTAGCTCGAATTTCTTTGGATTTATCCAAACTTCCTAAATAAAACAAGAGTAAATAAAATATTATAAAATTTCAAACCTAATGCTAAAATCTTTCAAGCTTGTTTAGATTTGGGCCAAACTATTGCCCCCAATTGGCTTATTTAATCCATTAATTCTCATTGTCTAGGTTGAGTTAAGATTTTCTCAACCTATACAATAATGAGTTAAACCCAACTCAACTGAATTCATATTTAATAAATCTCTTATATATTAATGTGAATTGACTACACTCCTAACTTTTCAAAAAAGTGGTCTATATTTTTTGGGTACAATATTTTTTTTTAGCCAGTAGGCCAATTTATCCATAATTATATCTTTATTGTGATGTATTTTGATATTTGTGTTTTATTAATATAGATAATCATGCTACAATGTGAATAGGCTGTATGTAATTTTCACATGCATTGTTTATATATAATTTAAAAAAAATCAAAAAGAAAAGAAGAAAAAGTTAAATGGGCTGGCACCAAAGCTGATACTTTGGATAGACTAAGCTTATTTAGTGAGACTTAATTCAGGTTGAACTTATTTGAATTAAATTTAAATTACCTTAACATACAAACCTTTGTTGTTGTTGTTTTTTTTTTTTGGGCAGAACATATTATGACGTCTGTCAAAAGCGAAAGTATCCCTTTAGAATTTAGAGCTACGGTCAAGGATGTTAGATTGCATCGTTATAGAGTCTGGCAAATTTATTCAGGTCATGTTTACGGGGTAATATTTCGGAGACTGACTGCCTTGTTAGATTTCCGCACAAGGTCGAGGGGAATTATTGTTTCACCTTTTCTCCAGGAGCTGAAGGTTATTGATCGAGGTTTCCCCTGTCTTGCTCTGTATATTGTTTGCCGCTACTTCTTTTTTTTGGAGTAATGGAGAGAAGAGTGGGCCAAAACAACAGTAAAAGCGACGCCATGACATGGAACGGATAGGTGGGAGGTGGGCCAAGGAGTCACGATGGGGAGCCAGAATTGGAGCTAGACCTTTTCAACAGACGCGCTTTTCTCAACCGGTCCCCTCTCTTCCACAAACAATTCATCAAAATGCCTTGTCAGCTTTTCTCTTTAATTCTATTTGTAATTTCATATCTTTAATACTTGCCCCTCTGATTAAACAAAATTTATCTAGTAATTGCACTTGTAGCGTATCAGAATTGGCTACTCTTCATTTCCTTTTCTCTCCATTTCCTCTTTACTTTTTATCTTAACTATTAAATCTATTTTTAAATGATTAAAATTTAATATTTTATAATAATAATTTTATAAAATATCAAATCTCAATTATTTAAAAATAAATTTAATAATTGAGATGAGAAGTAAAAAAAAAAATGAAGAAATGAAGAAAAGCTAACGCCGTGACGTGCCAGTGTGGCGTCTCAATCTCAGATTATTCGATCAAATTCTTTTTACTGGTACGAAGATTTTGTCGGTAAGCATTATGTAAATATTTTTCTGAGTACCCAAAAATCAAATCTAAAACCGAATTGTTCATTCATCTGGATCTGGCCTCCCGCAAGCCCAAACTCGAAAGTTTCGTAATCCTCGCGTCAAACGCAATTTTGACCCTACCAACCACCTCCTTCCACGTGGACCATCTCCAGCTAGCAGGCGCCACTGGTCCCCTGCCCGCCTTTGAAGGTTTCAACCGGATCAATCCTATTATCATGAGTCTACTTGGCAGTTGCAGCCATTCTCACAAAATTACAAAAAAAAAAAAAAAAAAAAAGGCGCTCCAGAAAGCTACCAGATTTACAATCCTCAACATCTACCCTGAAATCTGGTATCAACACGCGCACTTGTCCCTCTATCCAATATCGCCCCTACGTTTCTGTTTGCTTTATTTGTCTTCTTCCCTTCGCAACTCTGGCTTCAATATTTGTCCGCCCAGAAGACCTTGTTTCCTTCCTTCCCCGATAAGATGATGATGATGACCATGGAGGGAATGATGGACGAGGGCGTCCTCGACGATGTTATTCGTAGGCTGCTCGAAGGTAAAGGCGGAAAGCAGGTCCAGCTTTCTGAGTCGGAGATCCGTCTACTCTGCGTCAACGCTCGCCAGATCTTCCTCTCCCAGCCTAATCTCCTCGACCTCCGTGCTCCAATCCGCATCTGTGGTTAGTTTCTTCACCCCTCTTCCTCTAACTACAATTGCCGATCCTGTTTACGGCGCTGTAATTAATCATGCGATGGTTCTAAATTCTGGCCGATCGAACAAATCGTTTCCCTTCCTCGTGCTCATCAAATAGACATATTTCTTTTTTTTTCAGCTCTGTTTCAGAATTTCTTAAAATAGATTTGATCCATCGCCATCTTAAGACTTGGGTCCGTGTTAACGTAGTTGAATCATGGGGAAGTTGGGCCGTTCAATTACTTTGCCTGAACAAAATTAGGTTCTCCAATTGCGAACAAAAATCAATTTTGCTTTTAACCAGGTGAGGATGAACAGTTCATATTCAGAACATGATGGACCCCCCCCCCACAAAATAAATAAATGAATAAATAAAAACAAAGCGGCGAAGGGGGGTTGAGAAATTGAAATTTTTTCTTTTTAGAATTTTTATCAATTTGCCACAAGAACACCATGTTAACATGCCAGTGTATATCAATGAAGAATGCAGTAAGAAATAGAGAAATGTTTACTTGGAACTAGCCCTTCGAATTTCAGGTTTTAATTGTATGCTAGTTCAGTTGGATTATGTATTGCTAGGGTCATCTTTACGATTCATGAACTTTAAAAAAAAAAGAAAAAAAAAATTGTACATTTCTTGAAAAACCTCCTGTTATCCTACTTAAATAGAAGGAATCTTATACGACTTTATGGCTCATTGATTTGATTACGTGATGAAATTGCAATATGATGCGGAAAATCTGCAGTGGAAGCATTTCAATATCCTTCTCACCTTCTTTCCTTGTTCCTGAATTCTAAAATAGGAATTCATCTCTTGCAGGTGATATACATGGACAGTACCAAGACTTACTGAGGCTATTTGAGTATGGCGGTTATCCTCCTGCTGCAAACTACTTGTTTCTGGGTGACTACGTTGACAGAGGGAAGCAAAGCTTGGAGACAATATGTTTACTTTTGGCCTACAAAATAAGGTATCCCGACAAAATTCATCTCCTGAGAGGAAACCATGAAGATGCTAAGATAAACCGGATATATGGGTTCTATGATGAATGTAAAAGGAGGTTCAATGTTAGGTTGTGGAAGATATTTACTGACTGCTTTAACTGTTTGCCGGTAGCTGCACTTATTGATAGCAAAATACTTTGCATGCACGGCGGTCTCTCTCCAGAATTGCATACTTTGGATCAGATAAAGCAGATTACAAGACCTACTGAAATTCCTGATAGTGGATTCCTCTGTGATCTGCTTTGGTCTGATCCTGATCCCACTATTGAGGGCTGGGCAGAAAGTGACCGGGGTGTGTCATGTACTTTCGGGCCTGATGCTGTCAGAGACTTTTTGGATAAGAATGACCTTGACCTCATTTGCCGCGGTCATCAGGTACACTCCCTTTATTCTAACGAGCGAACTCAACGAGGAACACTACGCTATTATTTACATTTGTTCTTGTTTTGAAGGTAGTTTATCCTTTTTTTTTTTTTTAATGAACGAAGTTCAACACTCTCCATGCTTTCATGCTTACGTTCCTAGCCTTTGTGCATTCTGACCTCTCCAGAAATAACTGTTTATTCAGCCTACCAAAATCACTGGCTTCATGAAGCTGCCTGACATGTTTTGTAGAGTTATGCTCATCTCAGTGACATCCATTGTGATTAGTTTATCAACCCTCATGTTAAGCGAAAATAAATAGTTGAAATTCAGACTTCAAGGACACATTTGATTTCTATTCTCATTATTGTTTTTAAAAACTGTATTGTAATGCATTTTTCAAAATTGTTTTTCAAAACAAAATAAAAATGAGACTTCGTTGGGCTATGTCAATTAAAAAATAATTGTAGAATTAAAAAAATGGATTAATAGTGATAATTATAAGCAATTAATGATGGTAATTAATAATAAAAATTAGTCAAGGTAATTATAATTTTTAATAATTAAATGTAGTATATTTTAAAAGTAAGAAAAATAAAACAAAAATAACTTGAAGTAGTTGCTATTTTTTTTTGTTTTTAAAAACAGAAAATGAAAACAGTTTTAAAAACAAATTAAAAACTTTTATCCAAATAAATTTTTAAATTTTTCTCTTTACAAAAACAAAAAAATAATTTTTTAAAAATAGAAAACAATCAGGCTCTAAGAATTTCTAATGTCATCGTTTATTTTATTTTTTATGTGCCGACTTTCCTTGTGCATACGGATCTTCTGTTGATTAAGGTCTCATTTTACTCTACAAATCTTTATTGTAGGTGGTGGAGGATGGATATGAGTTTTTTGCTAAACGAAGTTTAGTTACAATTTTTTCTGCTCCAAACTACGGCGGGGAGTTTGATAATGCCGGTGCATTGTTGAGCGTTGATGAATCTCTAGTATGTTCCTTCGAGATACTGAAACCCGCGGCTAGAGCATCCGGAAGTGGCTCAAAATTGAATCTTAAGAAGGCATGTATATCATAATCAATCAGCAGTTTTAATGATTGAATTTGTATATGATTTTACATTTTTTGTTTTTGGTGAATCAGTATCTAATTGTGTCTTTTTCAACAGCCCCCTAGAAAGGTGTAGTCATTGGGCCAAAGCTTTCGGGTTCAAGCAGAAACGCAGCAAACTCAACTTGTGTGAAGTAGAAACATCTTCCAATTTGATGAGTTTTGGGAAAGGAGAGCCTTCAACATTTATGAGTCGAAGGTTGCCAATTATGTGATGGCTCTTAAGACTTTGACAAACCGAACCACCCAGGCATTCTTTTGTGTGCAGGAACAGAGATATTTGCGTTACAGTTTATACACATATAGATTTAGGGGTTTTTATGGGCAAATTAGAGTGTGATATTGTGAGTGCAAAAAGAGATGTCATGTTTGCAGACAAGTCGAAGTTCAATGTCATTTAATTTAATGACTGCTCGGCAGTCCTACTATTGGTATGGTGGTCCGTTCATGCAGGTGGAGTCCTCGGGGTTGGTGGGGCGGGGCGCTTATCATTTACCAGCATCGCTGCACCATAGTTGTATTTATTTAGTTAATAAAATACAAAAAGAAGGACTTGGTTAACTTCTGTACAGTGCAATATTCAACTCTGGCGGTGCGGCATCCTGAATTTCTCGATTGCTTTCTCCAGTTCACAGACCTGAAGACGGTTTGAAAACTATTTGTGTCATCTCCGAGAGCTGAGAACCATATGAAAGCTGCAATTACTCCTATCTGGGGGAAGTTGGGATGTCATGTGAAAATTAAGGAATAAAATGGATTAAAAAAATTAAGATAAAAATAAATTAAATTACTATTCTTTTTATAATAAGTACGTTAAAATTCATTAATATATAATATAAATATAAAAATTATAATATTTTTTAAAAATTTCATATATTATGATTTTTAATCTTATAAGTTAAATTATTCCTCTCTGTTAACCTATTAATTTTTTATTATTTTTTTAATTCACTATATTTTATTTCTTTCTAGTAAGCAAACGAGCTAGAATTTTAAGACATTGGTAAACTGCAATTGCCTCGCCCATTTTGAGAGAGAGAGAGAGAGAGAGAGAGAGAGAGAGAGATGCAACTGCCTGTTTCAGCGCGTAAAAGAAAAGGAAGAGACAGAGTAATCGTGTGTATTACTGTTCAGTGCACATACATTTTTGGCATTTGCATGTATCGGTCCAGTCCGGCTTTTGTAACACAACACAGTGAGGAGTTAGTAATGAGGTGGCACCTCGTCTGGCTGAAACGGCCAAAACAATGGGATCCGACGAATTAAGATTTGATCAGCAATTAGTAAGAAGATGCAAAAGAAACCTTGACTGTATGCTTTATTATTTTCATCTGGAATCCGCCCAACTCGAATTCACAAGTGAAGTCGGGACACGGGCGAGCTGATACTTTTTGAAACTGAACCCTTATTCAAATGGTTCTGGGTCAGCTTATAAACTAGTTTTTATTTTTTTTAAAATTAAAATTTTTAATTATAATATTTTATATTTCTTCAGAAATATAAATTATAATGTTTAAAAATTAAAAATAAGTCATAAAAATTTTAATTTTAAAATATAAATATATATTTTAAAATTTGAATTCAATTAAAAAATTAAAAATATTTTATTTTTTAAGGAGTTCAAAGGACCACTTGAGCTTGAGTTTATTTTTTAAAACCTATTAAGATTGAATTTTAAAGCTCAATTTTTATATAAACATATTATTTTTTTAAGCTCAAGTTTTTATAAAAACGAGTGTAAGCAAGTAACTCTTCGAACCCGGCCCTCGTTCCTGAGTTTGAATTGCGAGCGATGTGGCTGTAAAGATATAGCATCGAGGATTGTTGCGCTAAAAAAATCACCTTTTTACACTGCACCAAAAACATATACTCTGTTTTCAGGAGCTAGCCAGTTGGGGTCGTTAATTTTTGTTTTTTTTTTTTTAACGTTAGGGGATAATTTTGTACTTAAATATAAATCATATTTATAATAAAGAGAGAATTTTGAGAGAAAGTATAACGAGATCAATTTCCTCACAAAACAAGATGCATGGAGACAATGCAATCGTTTGTGGCCACTCCACTAAAGCACGAGTTCTGAATTCCGGTCATCGAAGTATACTTACTGAATAATTAAGAATCATTAATTATGCTTTCATTGTTTTGTAATCTTTTTCAAGTGGCCCAGAAGCATTCCTCGAGGACAAATAATTCTCAACATGTCCGTGCTCAGCCACTCTCTCTTGCTCCCCATTATCATATATAGACCATTGACAATAGAGTAGGGTCCACAGAAACAGGAAGAAGTGGGTTTTTATTCAAGCCACAAAACTTACAGAAAAGGGAGAAGAAAAACGGAGAGAAACATTGAAGAGGATCTATATGTACAAAGATTTGGATCATACATACAATCATGCCCTTAATTACATACACCCCCATGCACCCACGCACATTTTTTGCATTCATATATATATATATATATATATGCACCGAAAGAGAAGATGGTACAAAACTACGAAAGAGACTCAGTACGTAATGTATCAGACATCGAAAGGAGAAGAAGTGCCTGATGATCTGTTCTGGCTCGGCTTCTCGTATGCATCTGATGTCGACCTTCTACGAAACCGGAAGGACTCTTTTGCTCCTAATAAATTAACATAAAAGAAATATATTCATCAAAACACACACACACACACAAACACACACAGAGTACACACAGACTTCTTTATTCTATGTGCTTAACACATATCTTGTTATCTAGCTTCCTCTATATTCGGTGCTACTTGCAATTGTAACAGAAAACGCATGTGGTTTTTCCAAGTTCCAACAGTACCGACATCGTGATTCACACTGGAAAGCTACGTTTAATTGGAATGGATTCACTCGCAAGCTTGAGTAACGATGAGTCATATATATGTACAGATTTACCCCTATACCGCAGGCATTTGGTTATTTTATATAATATTAACCTCAGACAAGTATGAAGTTACCCTAGTTGACTCTGATTAATAGATGCGTATATGTACGTGAATAACCACATTGTACACGTCCATTTCACGTCGAGTGACTGGAATACAGACAAAAGTAACCATCCTCATGCACCTAACATGCATGTTCCATCATCATCCACTCAAGACGGACGGTGTCTCAAAATGACCAGACTGTCCTCACACGAGAATAATTAATCTTGGGCAATGGGCGTCCGCTAATCCAAGGTCTAATAACACATCTTAGTCATAATTAGAATTAGAATCAGGAAATAGCGACGTTACCCGAAGATGGAGACACCGGTGGAGTAGAATCAGCAGGTGAAATTGGAGGCGATCCACTCTGGTACCCTGGAGGTTTTACGATCATGATGCGACGCGTCACTCTTAACGCCTCCTCCACCGATTCCTCGTCGTATGATTCTGATTACAAGGCAGATCCTTTCGTTAGAATTTTTCTGAAGTTATAAGAAAACAGAAATATTGAGGACCTTTTCGGGTGTTAGGAGCTCCATATACATACATACATATATAAATATATATAACTTTGAACGATTGCTGAGATGTTTATGATCTCAATCTCCCAATCTTCTATAATATTTAGATCAATAGGTCATTTCAAAAATTATAGTGAGCTAACAAAGTGCTCTTGACGGTAAAAATGACCTGGACACAACTTGATCTGCAATTAAAAAGCATATGGGGTGTTACGTATAAGAAAGATTCCGTCGGTGATTCATGATTCAAATTCAGATGTCATTGATTCGTATAAATTATGTGTCAAAATATCCAGAGGCGGCTGAAGATAGGAAAAAGCTTTAGCATACCCTTGCCGGATCCAGCTCGGAAACTGAAGGTCTTGTGCTTTCGGAGCTTTCCGAGACCGTTCTCCGGCCGAGGGCCGGCGACGGTATCATCCCACAATTGATCGAGAAGGCCCATGGTGTTGAATAGTATAGCAGATCTAGCCAAGAGAAGAGACCACGCGAGTGATCAGTGTCAGAACTTGGATCTGGATTGGAGATGTGGCATGCATGCGAGGGGAATTTATGGAGGGCGGAGGAATTAAAGATCGAACAAGTCATGTGGATGAGGAGAGACGGGAACCGTCGATAGGAATCAAAGTAGGGATATACAACGTGGCGATCGGATCGGAGGCGAAAGGGAACCATGATGAGCACAACGCACTGTAGTGCTTATCTGATGCAATCTACATCATCTAAATTTAAATAAATAATTTAATATTTTTAAAAATAAAAATTTATAAAAATTATAAACAAATTTTAGTAAATAATTTTTTAATTAATCTAGTTTATATTTAATTTATAATATTTAATTTAATATTAATTTTTTATATTATTATACATTGACTTCACAGTTGTATTTTGTATAGTTTAAATTTAAAATTTTTAATTTATAATTTTTTTAAAAATATTTTTTAAAATTTATAATTAAAATATTATATATTTTATTTTTTGAATATTGTATTCATTAAAATAAAAAATAAAAATTTTAAATTTAAACTTTAAAATAAACATTTGATATCAAATATGAATTATCCAAAATACATGTAAATAGTCAATTTAAAAAATTATAATATTAAATTTAATTATTTAAATTAAATTAATATTATTTAAATTGATGATGAATCTATTTATAAAAAATTATAAATTTTTATTTTAATAAATATAAATATAAATTAAAATTAAAAAATATGGGCCATCCGATTGAATTTGAATGGCTCAGATTTATTTTCATGGATGAGCCCCTTGCCGAGCAGCGAAGACGGACGAAAGGCGAGGCGAAAGCTGAGGGGATAAGGTTCTGGCTTACACATGGGCCCCGCGGACTAGGAGATTCCAGGATGAGGGGTGACACGTGACATTACTTGTTCGTGTGGGCCTGGGAAAATCACGCAATAACAAGTCATTATTTCCACCATGCCCTTTTTTTTTTTGTTGGTGGCCTCTATACAATGCCCGTACTTTATTCCCAATCAGATGCATAAGCCCTTCGATTTTATCATTATTACACGCCTGAACCATGCTTCTTAATTTGACGCTTGTATTGCAATTTTGAATTTTCTTTTTTTTTTTGGTCGAAAATTTTGAATTTTCAAGTCTTCAAAATTTAACAATAATTTCTTCTTAATCAAAAGAAAAAAAAATAGTATTTAAATAAGTTGAGCATGAATTTTTTTTGCTAAATTTAAAAATCTAATGGGTTCTTTATAAATAATCTAAAATTTAAAAGGACTTTTTATCAAAACGAAAAAATCTGATGAAATTTCAAAAATTCAATTACATGCCTCTCCATGAATTTTAATAACTCTTTCTTTAATTACATAACTCATCATGAATTCTCATTACCTTTATAAATTGTATAAAATCCTATTTAGTTTAATGTTATTGTTTGAAATTTTGGCCTTAGGAATTAGTATAAATAAAGCCTCATTCCTTGTACTTCATCATCAAAGAATTGAATTTGAGCATTTTCCTAAATGAGTCTTCTCTCTTTTAAGTTCTATGCCACCATCGGATTCAGTGCGTATTACAAAAATATTGAAATTATTTGAGAAGAGAGCAAGCAGTTGTATGATTTGGGTTTTAAATAGAATAAAAATGTATATAAAATGAGTTATATTGAATAAATTAATTTTTAGATTGATATATTAATGGAAGGGCAGAAAGTGGGGTCTAAAAATAACGGAAACTGAGTCAAATTGACAATATATGCACGGTGTCTTAGAAAATGGAGACAAAACGGGAAAACAAATAAAATACGCAGCGCTGATGGGAACGGAATGAGGAACCAAATAGAAATACTCGGTTATCTTGGGTACTGATGATAATTCTGTCGTGGCCGTTGATGAATCTTGGGCGGAGAAGGATACGAACCTGGTGCCACTGACACTTGGTTTTCAGGAGGCTTTGAGGGCTCAACCATTGCACCAATGTCCGATCGCATGATTCATTTATTGAAGCCATATAAAATCAAATAGAATTGGGGTGGAACGGAGCTCCATGATTATCTCCAGTCCCTTTCAGTTGAAGGACCTCCTTGGGGAACGAGACAATCAAGCAGGTCACCTCACCTCACCACAATATAACTAATCGCTTTCTTTCTTGTCCTTCTTTCTATCTTCAGTCTCTCTTATTTCTTTCAATAAAGGCGCGAGGCGAATGTAGGCGGCCAGGATTACTCAGTGTGAGAGACGAGAGGAGCTAGACGACGAACGTCAGACTTCAGATGGTGGAAATCACATTCTGGATGACTTTTCTAGAATTTTGTTTGGATTTTGGGCGACTCTCAAATCCAATCACTCCTACTTACTTCTTGCTTCAAAACAACTTTCATAACCATTTGTCAAATGTTTGTTTCGTACCATAATTTCTAAGCCATAGCGTTACAAACTGGTTCCATCATCTGATGAATTACTCGTTTCTAGGATATTCTGTATCCAGCCCCCTATCCTCTGTGACAATCACTTTAATGCCACCATAGTGCTTGCTAGCCAATGTAAATGAGGCGGCTTGAATCGATCCACTTTGACGTTGAAAAACTACTACTCTCAAATTCATGCACCTCCAAAAAATTTCCATATACCAGGTCAATTATTCCTTGGGTGAAAAGGTTAAATAAAGTTTTACAATAGATCCTGCATGTTGAAAGAAAATAACCCCATGCACAGTCACAAGCACTCACAACCCAGAAAACGGGGATACAATTTCTCATGGAAACCTGTCCAGCACGCGCGGATAGATATTTTCTGAGGGTAAATTAATTACCAGTTTTGCAGCATAACTAATAAAAGAATGAAATTCTTTTTTTCAATCACCTGCTATATTCCAATCCCTCTAATTTTATGTAGCTATATTAACATGATCTTCCCCCAATTTTGAGTCTCTAAAAAATTGTGATTTTCATACCCAACAAAACGCATAAAAACTACGTGCCTCGGATTCCATCTATAAACATGCATGTGCTGATATAATCAACATGGTGACCGTAAGCATATGATATATTCTGATCATTCCTTTCCCGGAGAATGACCAAAGGAACAAGTCGAGAGAAACCAGAAGCCAGAAAGACCAGTCTCCACACTTGACAGCAATGTTTCCAAATAGTTCAAAATTCTTTACCATGGAATTGTTTGATACCTAACATTCGGCGGTATCTCGATTATCTTCGGGATGATCATATTTGTTTCATATGACAATTGGAAATTAAATATCAAATAATATATTTAGTACTTATTAGAAGTACGTGCAACGTGAGATGTTTGAGATTTTTTTCATGTAACATGAGATGAGATATAAAATAATAGAATTTTATATTTGGGGGACATCTTGTATGACAATCTATCGAATACAATATATATATATATATATATATTTTGAAAAAAAAAAACAATATACGACTGACGGCTCCTGTCTGCTTAAAATATTTATCCCTACAGCAGCAAGCATCGCATAAAAGAGCAAAAGGTATATATTTGACTCTTCCCATTACCATGTAGATACTAGATCGAAGAGAAAATTGCATTAATGTGGATACAAGCTTAAGGGCCGGGTTTCATTATTTATTTATATATTTTATTTTATATTTAATAAAATAAAAATTTTAAATTTTAATAAGTCTATTTTATCATCAATCGGGACAATTGTAGATTTAATCTGAATGATAAATTTAATATTAAATATTTTTATAAATTGACTATCTAGATATATTTTGAAATGTCTGAATTTAAACTAAAATTATTTTAAAATTTTTTTATTTTAGTGAATATAATATTAAAAAATAAACATAAAGATAATCTTCAAATTGGATTTTTAAAAAAATTAAAAAATTATGATTTAAAATTTTTAAATATAGACTATGTAGAGTACATTTAAATAATTAATTTATAAAAATATTTAATATTAAATTTATCATTCAGATTAAATCAGTATTATCCAGATTGATGATAGAGTAAATTTATTAAAATTTATAATTTTTATTTATCAAATATAAAATAAAATATAAAAATAAAATATAAAAACTTGGACCATTCAGATTAAAAATCTGAACGATCCAGATTACTCATCATGTGATAAGCACCATGGTGTTTATCACATGATGAGTAACGAAACTGATCTCCTATGAGCATAGGTGATTGTGACTAACCTTGCATGAACAATTTTGATGCTAGTTTGAGTAATTATGTGTAGTTAAACCTGAAATGTGGCTTAACCATAGACACCCTTATTTGTAAAATCTAGTGGAAGAAGATTTAATACAAGAAACGAACAGGAGAAAACCTCAGAGAACAATACTTTTAGAAAAAGTTCAAATCAAAAGTCTTTGCAACAAAAGATTTATACATCAAAGCCAAGATTTATCTAGAAAACCCTAAAGTGAATGAAGGAACAGATTTTTAAAGGAACAAAATAAAATAAAATCAACATTGTAACATCCTGAGTTTTAATTCCCTGATTAATTTAACCTAATTAGGGTAATCAAGTAAATTGAAATGGTATGTGATTAGAGAGGTCTAATAATTATATTTGGTGGTATTTCAGCCCTAGTTGTCAGTTCGGTATCGAGGCGAATCACCTGAGCATCGAAAGGAGAAGAAAAGGAAGAGTTGAAGTTGCTGTGCCATATGCCGTGGCACTTAGATTATTAGGCACAACGCACAGCCATCTCTAAGAGAGAGAGAGGACCTCTTTGTACCATCCGCCGTGACGTGTTGTGCATCCGTCGTGGCGCATGGTCATTTTTTTTGTAGTTTATCAGACGCGAAATGAGACAGAAATAGAGAGAAGAGAAAAGAGAGAAAGAAGAAGTGCCAAAGCTTTATTAGGATTTACTTGAGGATGACTTTAAGAGTATTTTGAAAGCTACAAATACTTAAGATAAGTATCATACTCATTAATCTCCCAATTTCTTCCATTTTTATGAATTTATGGTTAAGGTTTGATAGTAGAAGCAGGATTTCGGTCCATATAAGTTATGAGTCTGAATTAGTTGACTCAAACAGAGTTAATGGGGATAGATTAGAGTATCTAAACTTAAGTATAATG